CACTTTGATCTCTCCCACTTGTCCTTTGTGTCTGTTCAACAGATCTGACGCCATCTTCTCTGCGCTCTACGACGGCAGCGGGGTCATCGAGATCCTGCGGGGACACGAATACCTGTCCCATCCTTTTGCTGTGTCTCTGTACGGAGGCAACGTGTACTGGACGGACTGGAGGACAAATACTTTAGCCAGAGCCAACAAGTGGACGGGACAGAACGTCACAGTCATCCAGAAGACGAGCGCGCAGCCGTTTGACCTGCAGATCTTCCACCCCAGCAGGCAGCCACAAGGTGGGAACCCATTGTCAGCCCCACAAAACTGGGAGTTATGTGCAGGCCTCTAGGTGGCGCTGACAGCCCAAGATTTGGCCGTAGCCCTTTGGTTAAGAATCGCTATTAATTAAATAATTTGTTCTCTAATAAGAGAACTAATAAGATTGAACTAATAAGATCTCTAATAAGATTGAATAATTAAATAATTTGTTCTCTAATAAGATTGAAATGAGAATAATAATTATTATTGTTATTATAGTTTGATTGTGCAAAGATCAATTATAAAGCTACCAAAAAGTGACTAAAACACCTTTTTTTTCTTCCTTTTGTGACTTTGTCTAAAAGTCTTGATTATTTTATAAAGGAGAGAGAACGTTACATTAACATATTAAATAATTACCATCTTTACACCTGTGTAGAACATCTAGGTATCAGTCTGTTAATGAGATGGTGTGAATTTCACTCTGTGTTGAAAAATACATGAAGTAGTTTTGACACGTACAAATACACAGCGTGTACTTCCTGCCTGATGTATTCCGACTGTCGACGAAGTCGATGTCTTTGTAAAATGCCATATATTTTAGGATCCGTTCCATTAAACCAACCTAGGCCAACTTTTTTTTTTTTAATTTGATATGCAAAAAGCTTGTCAGATGAAGTGCCAAGTTTAAAATTACAAGCTTGAAATCTCTTTTCAACTTAACTCTGTCCCTTTTTTTTTTTTTTTTTGCTTGTTAAAATGGATTTTTGATTGATCTGTAAAGCGCTCCTGACAAAGTCAAACAGCCTGATTATGGATGACTGTTTCCCAGTCTGCCAGGAGCTGATGACTGATCAGTCCAGTCCATAGCTGCCCCCTCTGTCAGATGCCAGGACTGACCGTCCTTAAATGGACATTATTACGGTGCTAATGCACTGCCCCCCCAGTGTGTGGGAGGATCATCTGCTCATTTCCTCTGTATCTGCTTTCTTCTGACTGTTCACCAGAGATAAGTGTGAGGAAATGGGATTGTTTGCCCAAAGAAGACAGTAAGCGTCT